CAGCCTTTGGAGCAGAGAGAGGGATCCCTTGACGCCCCTTCTGGTCCCTCTGGGCCTGCATCTTTGTGGATGTTTGGGGCATTCAGGCTCCCTCTTGGGCACGCCCATGAACTGCTTCAAACCTTTTCTCTCTAGACCAGTGCAAGGACAGAGCCCATGCCACTATCCTTCCTTCTAGAGTTTTCTCATTGCCTTTCCTCCTCTTGACCATATCACTCCATGTTATGGACACAGCCCCTGTGTGTAGGACCATTGAACAGAGCCCAGGGTGAGGTTTGGAGAGTGGGAATCCTGAGAGTGAGAGAGGAGAGAGAGAGTGTGTGTATGTGTTTACACCATTGTTTCCAAGCTGAACTTGTGCAGGGAGCTTTTTGGAAGCATGATTCTCTTGGTGCCCTGTCTCCAGAGATTCTGAGTCATTGCAGAAGCCATGAGGGCAGCAGAGGAGGAATTTTCCAGGTGGAGTATGAGGTAGGTGGAGGCGAATCCTCCCAAGCAGAAGGTGCAGTAAAGGCGGGCACTGTGGGGAGAATGGTGCATTCGGGGACAGACAGCCCACGCAGCTGGAGCAGGTGCAGACTGGGAGACCGTGACGCCGCACAGTGGGCAGAAGCCTTGAACACTACGCCAAGGGATATGGGTTGATGCTACGTCTGCCTGCCTGCCCTGTCTGCAAAGAGCTGTCGGTGATCAGAACAATTGACTTGACAAGTGTAAGGAGCTGTAGCTCAAGCAGCCTTTTCCCAGAAACTGCTCCTAGGGTCTCTTCTCAGCTGGAGGCCAGGCTAGACAAAGCTTGCGTTCTTCCTGGAAATTCCCAGCTCATGCTGCATGTGGACCTGCCCATGAATTCTTCACTTGGTTTACACTGGCATGCCAGGGTGCAGTTGTGGCCTGGAGATGCTCGATTGAAAACTGCCTGTGGTCACAGAAGTGCCCTCACTTCCTTTTTTTATTTCAAAAGCAAGAGTGAGTGGGGAATCATTTCAATGCTAGATTTTGTGATGTCCCACAATGGAGAAATGATTGTGACACACCAGGGCCAGGTGTCAAACCTTCCTCTGTTAAACATTGATCTGGCCTTAGATCCTATGTGGGCTCTTGGGCAACTGATTTCAACAGTTATTTTGTGTAAGACATTAGAAATATAACACAATTTTTTTTCCTCTGAGTTAAGGATGTAGTTCAGTGGTAAAGTACATGCCTACATCATAACACTAGTGCATGCACACACACATACACATATACTTAAATGGGGTGGTAAGAGGGAGAGGGGTGATGTAGTCCTGAATGGCCTGGAACTCTCTATGTAGACCAGGCTGGCCTTGAACCCACAGGGATCCACCAGCTTTTTTTCCTAATGTGTGTGATTCTCTTGCCTGCATGTATGTAAGTGCACCCATGTGTACAATGCCTACAGGGACCAAAAGAGGGCGTTGGGTCCCTGGAACTGGAGTTATAGATGGTTGTTAGCCACCATGTGGATGCTGGGAACCAAACCTGGGTCCTCTGTAAGAGCAGCCAGTGCTCTTAACCTCTAAGCCATTTCTCCAGGCTCTGCCTGTCTTTTGTTAGACAGGGTCTCACTATATAGCCATGAATGGCCTCTAGATAGACCAGGCTGGTCTTGAATTCAGATATCTGCCTGCTTCTGCCTACTGAGTGCTGGGATTAAAGATGTGCATCGCCACGCCCACCAGAGAGTTCTAAGACTCAAATTCCCCACTTGCAAAATGGCAATATTGAATTAATTTATTACTTAACCAGTAGTAATCTAAAGAGATAAAGAGTGACTAACATCTGGGCTTGGAGTCAGGCCTGGTTCCAGTTCTAGCTCCATCACTTACTGGTAATGCAACTGTAACTTACTTAGTTTCCTGACCTGTGAACTGGTAAGAACAGGGTCTATCTACTGAGAACTGTATAAAGATTAAGAAAAGCAATGCTTAACCCAATGTAGGGACCCATACTAAGTCCTCAAAAAAATTAAAATATGCAAAGCCTAGTGCATCCATGGAGGTAAGCCCCCGTGCACTGGGGTCTGATAGGGTGTGTTGGGTTGTAAGCACTGAAGAACCAGCCCAAACTAAGTTACTCTGGAGCTCACTATGAGAATCTGGAGTCTAGAGATTTTGGTGGTTGATGCAAGCCTCTATGTCTGGGTTTCCTGCTGGCTGTCTTGGCCCTGAGCTCCATCTGATAGCGAAGTGTCTGCAGACATTCTGGTTCTCAACCATACATGGAAACGTTCAGAGAAAAAGACAAAAAGCTGTTTGCCAGAAAAGAGAAGTTCACAGAAAACCTTCACTCAGGTTTCGAGTCCACATGGGGCCACACAGGACCACACCCCCATTCCTGACAAGATCATAGACCTGGAAGGTGGGATCAAAGAGGCCCATCTGACTGCTGGGGTAAATTCCTCCTCTCCTGAGGTGAGCATGCGCAGTGGGAGGCAGCTGAATGAGGCAGGGGTTCCGTGGAAGGAAGGAGGCAAATGGACACAGGGTGGGTGGCTATCTTGTTGGAGACTTTTTAAGCTAGATACTGAAAATTAAAATGAGCAGTAAAGACTCCTTATAGTCTTGTGGTGTGTGGTAAAAGTCCAGAAGGTTTAATATCCAGCCCATCCTCACCCCAAATATTTTTTTTTTGGTCTTTTTTTTTTTTTTTTTTTTTTTAGACAGGGGCCCCCCGTAACCCCCGCTGGCCTGGAACTCACTATGTAGACCAGGCTGGCCTTGAACTTGCAGAGATCCACCTGCCTCTGCCTCCCAAGTGCTGCAACTAAAGGCATGCGCCACCATGCCCAGCCTCCAAATCTTTTAAAGGGCTTATTTATGTGTATGAGTGTTTGTCTACATCTATATATGTACACCATGTGTGTGTCCAGTGCCCAAGGAGGCCAGAAGAGGGCATCAGATCCCCAGAACTGGAGTTAACAGTTGTAAGCCTCCACATGGATGCTGGAAACCAAATATGGGTCCTCTGTAAGAACAGCAAGTCCTCTAAACTGCTGAGCCGCCCCTCCAGTTTCTTCTAAAAATCTATCTATCTATCTATCTATCTATCTATCTATCTATCTATCATCTATCTATCTATCTAATCTATCATCTATCTATCTATCTATCTATCTGTCTGTCTGTCTGTCTGTCTAGTGCATGAGTATGTATATTTTTGTGTGGGCATGTATGGAGGCTAGAGGACAACTTCTGGGACCTCGTTCTCTCCTACTATGGGGGACCAGAGAATCAAACTCAGGTGATCCATCAGGCTTGGCAACAGGCACCTTTACCCACTGAGCCATCTTGCTGGCCCTCCCAGAATCTTTAAGGGAAACTTCTCAGCTTATGAGCCCAAGTCTTTCGATATCTAAAACCTCAGTTTTAATAGTGGTTTTCAATTTCCTCCCTCACCAAACATTTCTTTATAGGGTGGATGGAAAAAGACAGCATCCTTTTAGTGAGTCCTTTAGGCCAGTTCTACCTTCATCTGAGATGGGTCTGCTATGAGCCCAGAGTTATCAGCATCACTGTAAGAAACAACCTCAATGAACCCAGGGTGTTCCCATGGCCTGGTCAATACACCAGGATTATAATGGCAGCAAAAGAAGGGAACCTGCCTTGCACAGTGCCTGGCACTCAATAAATGATAGTTTCTTTAGTCTAATGTTTAGTTGTCACAGAGTAAAGATGTTTTAGGTAACCGGGCAGCTTTGAAATGAGGGTATTAGGTATGAACTAGTCTAGCAGTTCTGAAGTCCTTTATAGGCCCAGTGGTTGGGTCATTGTGCCCTTCAGGTATACAATCTGTGTACATGCCCATGGGTGCATTTTCCAAAGACAGGTCTGCAGTTTTTAACACATTCTCATAAGGACTGCGGATAGAACTTGTACAAGGCTGTGATACAGGTTGGATGGTGCAGAAAGATCAACACCAGAGCATGACCGTCACACTGGCATCTGTACCATGAGGTACTGTGACTTTACAAACATGATTCAAATTCCACTTAAAAGTGGTAAGAAAATGCTGATGCTGAGAAGCAAAACAGATAAATTAGTTAAGAGCAGAGTCTGATTCAAAGCTGGAAGTCTTTGTAACCAATTTTTTTCTCTAAGCCGCCTTCCCATCGATTTACTTTCTAAGTGTTATAATGTGAACTTGAGAATTCATTCTGTACTTCAAATTTTTTTTTAACAGTGTGTAGTTTCCTTGGAAAGGAGGGCTTGCTGTTAAGAGGAAGGGTGTACAGTGCTGACAGGTAGGACTTGAGTTCACCATCCATTTCTGATTTTAGAAGACCTGACAGTGTGAGAAATCACAATAAGATGGCTGAACCCTGTTTTCTTTTTTTTTTTTTCTACTCAGGCCAATGATGTAAACATGTTGTGGTTACAAACACCCAACCAAGTTGAGTTATAACTCAACTTCAGCTAGATCAGATAACCTAAAAATGAAGTTTAAATTTAAGATCCCCTCACATACAAATGCCATCCAATGAACTCTACAGCGATGAAATGCAAATGGTGTGCTGGGGGGTATCTATAAAGATGGTGGAGGCAAGCAGGGTCACATGAAGGCACATTGAGATTTTTTGGCACTGGACAGACCTGGGTTTGAATGCCACCTTTGCACCTTACCAACCTATGACTGGCTAAGTTTTACCTTTGAGCCTCAGTGTCATTATCTATAAAGTGGGAATAGGTGTTGATCTTATCAAACTGTTTTGAGGATAAAGGTAGTTATTCAAAGGCTAGATGTTGCAGGTGAAAGCCACTGGCTTTATAGTGCTACTTCAAGGAGAGATGGGTCTGTGTGATTATCTGAGAGACAGCAATTTGGAGGACAAAAGAGAAGCCAGACAAAGCTCATGGGGAACAAGGATCTCAAACTCTCCAGTGAAGATGCTTGGACACTGAAGGCCAGCCTGGCACTGGAGAATCTGATGTGACACTTCTGAAAAAATGCCCTCCACATACACTAATACAGGCGGAAGCACACAATCAGCTACAGTGCACACAATTTATTATACATGGCTAGAAGGGAAGGACTCGCAGAAACCCCCACACCAACACCCTCATTCTCCGGCTCCCTTGTCTCCACCCCTCCACACTGACTGAACTTGAGCCTCTTGGTAGTAATTCACAAGACAGACATGAAGGCCATTTGGTGCCTGGAGAGGGAAACACTCGGAACCAGGAGCATTGTTACTCTACCTCTGGAAAGAGATTTTCACCAAGACATGGGCTTTCCTGGTCCTCAGTGGTATAGGGTGAGCCGCTTTCCAAACAGATAAAATCACCATTTTAAAATGCAAAATATCAATGCAACTTCAATCCTTAGTGGAAATATTCTACATACGTCCAGCAAAAGAACCTGGATGGATGGTGCTTCAAAGCTTGGAAGGTAAGCTTGGAAACAGGGTACAGAGGGAGACCTCCTGAAGTGGGTGAGCCTGAAGTGAGTCCACTAAGGGCAGATGTGAACAGTGGTGCTCTGATAAGAAGCTGTTAAGACTTCTCCAGGTGAACTGAGAGTCTCAAGGAAGTGTTGTAAAGGTCACTAACCAGCTTTCTAGACCAGCGGGAAGGATGTCAGACTAAGAGACAAAGAGCTGACCACTTCCTCCTTTGGATTGACATTTTGTAACAGAAAAGGAATAAGGCAAATATAAAAGTTCTGCATCTGAGCAGCTAACCAAAGTCTGACATTGTCTATGCTGGTTATCAGGTATTGTATGTTCAAGGTATTCGGAGTCCCTTGTTACCAGTTAATAAGTAGGATGAGCCATCAAAATGCTTCACAGTATATAATAATCAACAGCATGCAGAGAGCAAAATGTAGTGGTATTTTTTTTAAGTATTTTAGTCCTTAAGCTATTCAAATAGGCATATAACATTTATAGAATTTAGAAAATTATTTTTTAAAAAATAAAAAATTTAAAACCTGATATACAAAAATAGGCAAGAGTGAGAAAAGCACTTCTGTGACGAGAATTCAGCTGGCCAAGAGGTAGACCAGAGGGAGGCTCAAAACTAAAAATGCACCTATTATTTTCAAAAGGATCACCACAATAATGAAGTCTCTTTTTCACAACTTTGACCATTTTCTCTAGCTCTGACAGGGTCTGGCAGGAGGTGGGACTCATTCTAAAACAGTTTGGGTCTAGAGAGTGAACGGACTTTCGGGAAAGTCCTTACTTAAGACTCCCTAAAGGAAGGCACGGATGGCCAGGTGAAGCTGGGTGGTAGCACAGGGCATCACTGTCTGCAGAGCGTTCATCCAGCCCAGGGTCAGGTGGCAGTTCTGGGCTACGTTCCTTCCCCTGATTTGACTGCTCATAGAGGACTCAGAAAGGAAGTCAAAAGAAGTAAGCCTTAACCTACTACAGAATAATCTAAAAGTACAAACTGTTAAATATTTTAGAGAATAAGAGATTATTATCTATAAATGATCAATCTCTCCGTATTTACAAGCTAACTTTTTTTTTTTTTGGTGTTAGTAGGCAAATGCTCTACTACTGAGCTACACTCCAAGCCCCAAAGAAAGTCTTTCATCTGTTTTTGTGACTCCTTTTCATTTTAAGAGCCCCACATTCAACATGCAGAAAAGGAAAGGAAGGGAGGATATTCAAGGTTCCTGCTACTCTCTGTGAGTTAATGGCTAATTTGGTCCCACTTTATCCTTGGAAGGGTATAGCACAACTCTACACTGACTTATATGGCTTATTGTTTTGACTTCATGATGCTTTGCAACATATCTATGGGCAGAGGAAAGACAATTGTCGAATTTTTCTCAGCCGCAATGGTGGTCAGTGTTTGGAGGTAGCGGAGCTGAAGGGCAGCAGGAGACTCGGTGATAACCATGGAGGCTTCTTTCAAGGCTCTGGATGCATTCATTTCTCCCTCAGCTGCAATAACCTATAGATGAGGGGAAAGGGAGGTCAGAGCGAACACCATGGTGCCACACAGCAGTGTTCCAACTGGGCTATGCATACCTTAGGTGGGCACATGGAACAATCCAGGAAGTAATCAGTGTCTAGAGACCCAGTTCCAGATGTTCTTTTTCCTAAAACTGAATTGTCTGAGTATGTCTGGTTCAAGACATCCTCTTTTACTGCTGCATTTCTCCCATTTAACAGGAGACCAAACAGAGGGGCAATTCACAATACTTCGTAGGGGGTCAAGCAACTGACCTTAATGTGTGGATGCAAATCCTTTGCAAGGCAGGTGGGTTTCCAATTCTTTGATTTCAAAGAAAGGAAATATCTTATTGAACTCAAAACTGACAGAGCTATCTTGATAAAAAATTGCAACAAGCTGGGCGTGGTAGCGCACGCCTTTAATCCCAGAATTTGGGAGGCAGAGGCAGGCGGATCTTTGTGAGTTCGACACCAGCCTGGTCTACATAGTGAGTTCCAGGACAGCTGGGGTTACAAGGAGACCCTGTCTCAAAAAAGACAAAAAAAAATTGCAACATGATTTTTAGCACACTCATTTGTGTGCTTGCTGAGGAGTACATGACATTAAACACAAGTTCCACTTCTGTCCACTTACTTAAATAGTTTCTGAGTGTGTTTATAAAAGTAAAAAAAAGAAAAAAACTAATGCTGAATGTTGCCTCTTTCTAGTAACAAGCAATAGCCATCCACATGCATATGATTTAATTCCTCATGTATTGTACCAAAAGAAGTGGATCTAGTAAAAATTACTTCATATTTAGAAGAAATTCTGAAACATTTGGAGAATCTTCATACAGAAAACCTTAAAAAATTACTTCTTACATCCTAATATATATTGCAGTAAGATAATAAAATAATTCATGACAAAGCACATTAAGAAAAAGATCTGTGGAGGAGGTGTCTTCTTTTCGGGAAGGAAAAGGTACATGAAATATTATTGATTGTTAAAGAGCTTATTCACATTATCTTACTTACATTTTACTAGATATACTTAGAAGAATGACATTATCAGTTTCATTTAGAAATGTAATACAATATACAAGGAATTATATCTTGGAATGAACATATATTCAAGATAAAATTTTCACGTGCCAATCTAAAACTGAGTGATGAGAGATACAAGTTTTTCAAACTCTTTTTAAATCTCCCTTGGGATTCATAACCAGGTGTGTTTCAGAGCGTTGGCCCTGAACTCCTTCTGAGACCTGATTAACATGTTTACTTGAAATGTCGAAGAAGACAACGAAGTGGGTTAACTTCCAGCACTGCCCCTCAGCCTCCCTCCTTCCCAGTTTGCACAACTGCACGTCTTATTTGGGGTCATCAGTAGTTCTCCGATAGGAGATCTCAAGAAATTGGATAAAGAAGTAGCTTCAGGAGTGGTAACTTCTGCCCCAGATCTGCTACTAAGAAGAAATTTTTATATAATTTTTATGATTCTCTCCATTTGGTTAAAAGTACCAGAAGGCATGGTTACCTGTGGCTCCTGCTACTTCTGCTAAGTGGAGTCCCTCCTCTTCCTACCCTCTACTGTTTCCTCTAGTCAAAATTAAGCACCGTAACCTTAGGAAAGTTCTCACCTCTTTTTGTAAAGTTTCTTACCTCTTTTTGTTTTAAATCAAGGAATGCATGAATTATGATGGCTCCAAAACAGCAAGAAAATTGTCACGATTTTAGTGACTGTACTAATTGGTGTGTGTTCTCTCAACAAGTCTCTGCTATTAATATGCTTGCCTGCAGTTTGCCTCACTTTTATGAAAATTAAATTTAGACTTCAAAAAAAGAGATTTATTTCTGTTTATTTTATGCGTAAGAGTGTTTTGCTGCATGTATGTAAGTGCTGGCAAAGGCCAGAAGAGGGTTTCAGATCCCCTGGAACTGGAGTTTGGATGGTTGTTAGTTACCATGTGGGTGCTGGGACTCAAGCTAGGGTCCTCTGTAAGAGCAGCCAGTGCTCTTAACCACTGATCTGTCTCTATAGCCCCAGTTTTTCAAACTCTTAAGGGTTCATATACATAGGCAAAAAAGTGCTGATCACTGCATGATGGAAACAGCAGGAGTGTTGGAGAGAGTTAAACTGGCTTAAGCTAAAATCCTAAATCTAATACATCCTAGCTGAGTGTCCTCAGAGAACAGACAGTGAAGATACATAAAGTTTTGGATGCGTAAGTGGAGACTATTATACAAAATAGCAAGGAGAAAGTCAAGATCTGATTTTGGATCTAACTATGGTTTCATGTGTTTGTCTAAAATGTTCTTTCTTAACTTTATCCAGATGGCAAATTTATCAATTCTTTTTCTTAAATTCTTAAAAACTAATGTTGTGTGTGTGCATATTGTTTTGCTTTTGAGTCAGGCTTTTACTATACAGCACAAATAGACCTTTAACTTCACTCTGTAGCCCAGCCTCAGCCTTCTGGGTGCTGAGATTACAGGTGTGAGCCACGCCTACCTTCTATGTTTTAGTGTACAAAAGATTTAGAAGCTAAATAAGGGCAGCAACTTTTAATTCGCAATCCTGTAAGAGAAGGTATTGGATGTCATAAGCATTGAGGTTAAAATTGTGATTTCATCAAGTTGCTCTCTTAGGATTTCAAAATATTAATGGCTTATAATATCCTTGTAAATGTCAGAATTGGCAGCAATATCCTTATACCAATGAGATTTCATTCCCTTATACAGCAAACTTGTAGGTGCCAATAAGCCCTGTGCAGTTGCTGGGGACAGGGAAGAGAGACAGGAAAGAGATCATTTCATGCTGGTGCTGAAAGAAAGATGTACAAGGCACAGCACCAAGAGGAAAGAAATATTGCAGAAGGCAGAGGGGTGAGGTATATAAATGGAATGTCAAAGAATGACAGGGAGCCAGGAGGATGGCTCAGTGGGTAAAAGGATTTGCCACACAAGCCTGACATCTTTAGTTCTATCCCCAGAACTCATGTAAAAAACATGGATGTAGTGACATCTGTAATCCCAGCACTACAATGCTGAGATGGTAGACAGAGATAGGAAAAGCACCCGGATGCTCACAGGCTGGCTAGCCTGAAGAACACAGTGAGGTGGGAATAAGAAGAGACCCTGCCTTAGCCAGGTGGGAGGAGCAATTCCCCAAAGTTGTCCTCTGACCTCCACATGCGCACAAGTGCACAGATGTAAATATATTTTTCATAAACTTAGAAAAAAAGAATTACAGGTTTGCTATGCAGATAAAAATGAAGAAGAACATTTTTGCCAGAACACAACAAACAGTTTCCATACTCCAGAAAACCAAGTGACAGAATACTGTGTTTGGCAGTGGTAAAACGGGGGGGGTGGTGGAGACAGAGGACAAACTGGGTGGGGGGGGGGGTGTAAATGGGGTCAGGACCTGAGGGGCAGTGAAGGCCAAGGTGGTTTTCCCGCTGTAGGCAGTGGGAAGCCACAGAATGGCTTCGAGTAGATAAAGAACTTCATCAGATCTAATTTGAGAAAAGACTTGGGGATGCTGGACAGACAAGAAGAGACTGGCAAATGGAACTGTGCCAGCAGAGTCACTGTAGTGGAGACAGAGGACAAACTGGACTGGGTTGCCGCTCAGGAGAGTCAAGAGTATGTTCAATAGTATGTGGATCTAGGTATGGGAGGGGAGGAGATGGGCTGGGTCCCGAGTTGCCAAATTTTGGTTGCAGGCTAGGGAATAGCAGGTGTCATAGATCCTGAGAGAAATTACCCAGTTCCTAGGATTAACCTTCAGTTTATAAAGGCAAGCCATTATGTCTTACCTTGGTCTATGAGCAGGAGCAGAGGCCCAGGTAACTGCTCCAAGGCAAGCATTAGAGAATGCATAAATAAACCTGCACATGCGAATGGCAGGCTCGGCCCATCTTCCATGCCATCTCCTATGCCCACTTAGGCACATTTTTATCTGGACATTGGCCAAAGATACCTCATTTCCTATCTTCAATCAACAATTTCTTGTCCAGGAAGCCAGACTTACTATGATGGGCACACTTAGTCATAGAAAAGCTGCTCTCAGCAAGCTATCAAAGATGTGAACACAATACCACGAGCTTTGTCTAGATCTAGCCCAGTTTCACTGCAGATAGCACCTTAGAGCAAAGCAAGCTGCTTATAGGTGGATGGGGCTTTTTGCCAAATGTTCAGCAATTCCATGTTAATTAATACTTAATTTTCACAGAGCACCATTTTGTTTTTTTATTTCGTTTTTTTAATGGTGTTGCAGATGGAATCCAAGAGAAAATCTAAACATTTTAAAGTAAAGTTTGGAGCCGGGTGGGGTAGCTCACACCTTTAAACACAGCAATGGGGATGGAGGTGGGGTGGCACAGATTTCTGAGTTTGAGGTCAACCTGATCTACATAGCAAGTTCCACGCCAGCTGGAACAATAGGGGAGACCATGTCTCAAAAACTAATTAATTAATTAAAATGAAGCTTGGTTAATATTTAGTAGAGAATCAGTCCTTTTTTGTGTCTGTGTAAATACATCTAAGTGGCTAACTCTACTCAACAGTATGTTTAGGAACAGTTATGTGCACTCTCCGCTGTATACTACTCCTTCCTGTGGATAACCATACCTTGCCCATTCAACTAGTGATGGATTCTTGCAGAGCTTCCAGGTTGGGGTCACCATGAAGTGCTGCTGTGACATTCCTTTTGGTAAACACGAGCACACACCTGCGAGATACATACTTAGGAGTGGAGCTACTGGTTCACAGGGTCTGTGAATGTCCAGCTTTGGCAGCTATTGCCAGACTGTCTTCTGAAGCAGTCATCCCATGTACATTCCCATGGCAGAGTATGAGAGCTGCAGTTCCCATCTCCCCACACCTGCTTCTGCTCATCTTGTTTTTTCCAAGTCATTCTGATGGGTATTAGAGTGGCATCTGCTTATTTGAATTTGCACTCCCTGTGGCTCTCTGATTAAGGAGTTTGTTCTGAGCCTCTGATTATGGCTTTCTCTCTTCTCTCTCCTCTCTCTCTCTCTCTTCTGTAATTTACTTGCTGAAGAAATGATGGCCCTCTATCTGCCATGAGAACCTGAGTGTAATCCCATAGGTTTTTCTGACTTACTGTAGTTTTACTAGTTACAGTAGCCTTTGCTGCATGAACCCTAACCCTGAAGACAGCCAGCCATTGCACAGGTTCATGACCCAGCTTTCAGGCTAACCTTACAGCCTCATCTGAGGGACAGCACGGTAGCCCAGAATTCTAACTGGTTTCATGTTTGCTTCTTGTTATAAAGGGAAGTCGGGAATGGTCTTTTCAACCTGTAAGGATGCTATGGACAATGGTCAGCCATGGTGGGAGGTCCCAAAGGAAGCAGGGAGGGAGGGAGGGGAGCAGAGTTCTAATCATTAATCAACTGTGTGACCTTGAGGAAACCACTCAGCTCTTCTGGGTTTAAGCGTGTCATGTGATTAGGAAGGCAAACAAGTGTTACTTTCAGGGCTAACTCCAAGCAGCTGAGGGTTGTTACCTAGAGTGCTACAGAAGGATTCTGAAGCCAAGTCTAAGCTCAGTGGAAAACAGCTCTGTAGTTAATTACTATCATGGGATTAGAAAGGTGCAGGCTCTGGACACAGTCTTGTCACCTTTGGATTCTTCAATTCTAATAGTCTACATATGGGAAATTCTATTATTCAACATGGTTTAGAAATGGGGCATTTAGTTAACAAATTATAGGTAAAAGTATTCCTAATTTTCAATAACTGAAAGATAACAGGGAACATTTACTAACACTGTAAATATATTTTAGTTCCTAAAAGTGATGGCTTTGCAAGAGAGCACTTGAGAGTTCTGCAACGGCATCATGAGTACCAATGAGCACAGCAGAAAACCAAAGATTCTGGCTGACAGAAAATTCTAGAGGCAGCATATCAAATGGGCTACTTTTCTATATGGTGCTGGCAAAAAAGTATAGTGACAGATCTGTGGCTTAAAGTGTATTCTAGGAAAAGGACAGGGTTCTATGGTTGACCAGTTCACCTGCTACTACTGTTTTCTAATGACAAATCGGCTTGCTCCCTGTTTAGATCTGTCAAGGCCACAGCAACCCCTCCTACGAAAAGTTCTGTTCCAAGGGGTGGGGCTGTGTGGCCACTTTAAGACGTGGTCTTGTCCTTGTTGGACCAGGGAGAACCTCTTCTCTGCATGTGGTCTGCTTCCTTTCCTGCTTACCTAAGAATTCAGATGAACTTGGGAGTCCAAAGTCCTCCACCATGAGCTGTCTACAGCAAGACACAGCCCAGGAAGGGCGACTGGCTCCCTTTGGCCTTGTCCAGCCCTGCTGAAGCCTGCCTCTACTTCCAGTCCTTGGGTTTAGTGATATGGTGTATTTTCTTACATTATCATCTCAAAAGATATATTTTTCTGGTTAGCTTAAGGACTATTTCCTCAACACTTCCCAGAAGGGCCATGCTTCAAGACAAAGGCGAGAATAAGATGGGAAAAAAGAGAGGAGAAGAAATGAGGAAACAGGACAAAGAAGAAATATTGGGAAAGAAGAAATTCCTGGAAAAAAGAGGGAAGGAAAAAGGGGGAAAATAAGTGAGGAATGGATGGGACCAAACTAACGCACTGTCCGTTTGCTCTGAAAGTCAATTTGCCCTCAATAATGAATTGAGAAAATCAAGTCCAGGGCTCACAGTCATGGGAGAATGACAGAACCGATGTTTCTATGATTTAAGTGAACATGCCAAGGTGCAGGACAGTATGCACAGTGTGATTCCATTTGAGCCAATAATCCAAATACCTCATCAAATAAAATCCAAGTACAGGGCTGGAGAGATGGCTCAATGGGTAAAGTGTTTTTTGTATAAGCATGAGGACCAGAGCTTGGATCCTCAGCACCCATGTCAAAGCCAGGTATGGTGAGATGTGTCTGTAACCCCATTGCTGGTAGATCCTGGGACCTTGCTGGTCAGGCAATTTACCATCAAATAAAATCCAAGTACAGGGCTGGAGAGATGGCTCAATGGGTAAAGTTTTTTGTATAAGCATGAGGACCAGAGCTTAGATCCTCAGCACCCATGTCAAAGCCAGGTATGGTGACATGTGTCTGTAACCCCATTGCTGGTAGATCCTGGGACCTTGCTGGTCAGGCAATTTACCCAAACACTGAGAAACCTTGGCTCAAAAAATAAAGGTGAAGAACATCCAAGCTGAGTTCTGGGCTGCACACACATGAGCACGCGCACTCGTGCACACACACAACAGACACACACACCAAGTTGTTAAGAATGGTGGCCTCTGGGGATATAGAACTTGAGGTGATGGGAAGGGTTTCTATCTTTACTAAACATTCACTATGGCCTCACTTTTTTTCTCTTTCTTTCTTTTTTTATTTTTTATGTGTGTCAGTGTTATGCCTGCAATGTATATAAGTATACCTATGTCATGCAGTGTCTGCGGAGGACAGAGGAGGACATGGATCCCCTGGAACTGGAGTTACAGATGGCTGTTAGCTGCCATGTGAGTGCTGGGATTCAAACCCGGGTCTTCTTCAAAAACATCCAGTGCTCTTAACCACCAAGCCATCGCTCCAGCCCCTGCCTCACTCTTTTACAGTGAGCATGCGCTATTATTTTGGAATTAAGAAAGAAAACCAAACTAAAAACAAAACCAAACAACAACAGACCTAAACAAACAGCATGCATTACCTTGGCTCTGGCCTCTCGGGAGGCCTCTGCCTCTGCAGCCATAGCTCTCTGCAGCTGCACAGGGAGCTTCACGTCCTTAATTTCCACACGCTCCACCTTTATTCCCCAGTCATCGGTAGCATCATCCAGAGTAGACTGGAAGGAGACGAGAAGGCAAGTGAGGCATGGTCAGCTCCTGCCCTGATGCCAGCAGTGGCTGGTTCACCAGGATGCAGAGATGAGGCACTTGGTGAGTGGCAGAGAAACAGTTACCCTTCAGTGGAAGGAGTGTTGAAGGACAGCTGGGGTGAGGGGAAGATGACCTCCTTCTGTTACTAATGAGCTAACACAGGTGCTGGCAGACTTATTTCTATGAGGGCCATAAAGGAATTGCTTCTCTGTTGTCTCTATGCAACGCTGTTGTTACTGCAGGTCCAGAGCATCATGGGTAACACATAAATGGGTGGGTACAGCTATATCCAATAAAACTTCTCTTACAAATATGGCAGCCAGGCTGGGGCTAAACACAAATCATTTGCCCACCCCTGAGCTGGTGTGACTCACCACATTTCTTAGTGCCTCACTCTCCTCTTTGAGAGGGGGAGGAATACTCTATCCCATGAGGTGTGATGGGAATCACATAAATCACAGGTATTTAGTAGAGCATGATGGTGTGACCTGTAATTCCAGCACTCAGGAGGCTGAGGCAGAAATTCAAGGCCAACCTGTGCTACATAGCAAGTTCCAGAGCATCCTGGGCTACAGAGCTATACCCTGCCTCTAAATAAATAAATAAACAAACCAAAGTGAAATAAAACAGAAACCACACATAACCAAGACTATGTATTTTAACCCCATGAAATATCTATGAATAGTAGGAATTTCGGTTTATAGCACTTAAACGTTTTTGAGCAAGCCAGCCTTAATGCAGTATTTACTGCTCAGGCAAGGCTGGAGAGCATAACAGTTACATGGAAATTCATGGGGCTCACCCACCAGACTGCTCTTTAGCAATACCTGTGCAGTCTCACAGAACAACCTGTAAACTACTCTGCTCTACAACGAGGATAATATGGATTCCGGGGAAAATAAAACACTGGAGGAATCTGACATTCACCTGAGTGTTATGAACCCCTGGACTGTTAGTGTGAAAGCATCTATCAAGCCTGGAAAACCATAAGAAGGAAAAAAGGCCAGCCACCCCCCAGCCTGGAAGTTTTCAGTTTCTGGGACTTAACCAGTGCTGGTGCCTCCCTCACCTGCATGTGGTGTGCAATTTCTTCTCTGTCAGAGAGGATCTGAGAAAGGTTCTTGGTGCCCAGGGCATTCCTGAGAGTAGTTTGTGCCAAAAGACGGGTCGCTGAGTCTGCATTGGTGATGTTTGCTACAGCCAGGGTTGCATTATGAACACGGTAATAGACCACACCATCCACACTGATGGTTACTGAATCCTTAGTGAGAACCTATAGGAGGAAGGAAGCGATCTTACATCTGCCAATCGTTCTTTAATGTCACTAAAAATACTGTTCTACAAACCTCTTAAGCAATAGCGGATTTTCCTTAAGTAAGGTATCAGAAGATTAATTGTATCTTTAGAAATTTAATAAACAGTCATTTATTCAAGTTCACAAACTTCATTCAATACTCAACAAGTTCTGGGATGCCACTCAACAGCTGGTGTTGCACTGGCTCGTTTCTTCCCACCATTTCCGTGTCTCCAAACTTCCCTTAGGCACACTCCAGTGCACATCCCTCTGCCTTTACTGTAGCGATTCAATGTATAGGTGACTGCTTCTCCCTTAGACTCTTAGGGGCCGTTTTTGTTTGTTTTTCTAGCACTGGCAGAGTGACGGGTAATGGCCGAGAATCACTGAGTGAGGGACAAACTGACCTGAAATGTGATGCCAGGAAGTAAGCAATAAGAGGTCCTGGGGTAAGGTCCAAGCCATGAGCATTCTGCTGGGAATTTCAGCAGGTTGTGAACCACCTGATCTAGCAGTCACTCAATGGCAACATAGGGCTAACAGGGCGACCTGGGTCCATCTTATTTCTACAGCAATCAAGAAAGACGGCTCTACTGAGAGACGCCTGTACCGCTCTGCAAATAAAAGGCAGCAACAGCAACATGGCCATGTGACTGGTTAGCTCTTCCAGGCATCAAGGCAGTAATTCTCCTTTGTTCTTTAGTAATCTAAAAATAACCACTAACTGGGAAGAGGGGGGATTTGTAGACAAATGTAAAATGTGTTACCATCTCGTGTGAAAATGACCTCTCGTGATGTGATGGAAAAATGACTGCTACTCCCAGACAGAGCCTGGCCACTGTGACCACCCATAGCTGTTTTCAAAGCTGCAGCGTCTCTGCCAACCGTTTATTATAGACAGAGTGTTTATCTCCCTTCGCAGTAAGTTCATCGGGGATCGGAAAAAGGGTTGCTTTGCCAAGTTCCAATCTGCTCTCAGTTCAGCAGGTCACAGGGAGAAGAGAGCAGCTGGAAGCCAGAAGCTCCCAACAACCCCACTGGAGCCTCAGTGCTTATAGAAAACACCAGAATTCTCAGCCCCTCAAAGGGGCTCCTGAGAGTCTACCTTCCTGAAAGATGAAGAACTGTGGTGAGATCTGGCATTGGGTCTCAAGCTTGTTCTTGATGTGGGTAGAAATGATCTCTGGCATCACTAAGCTTGTGTGGACTGAAAAGTGACCTTACCAAATACTTGGATTCATACCAGCAAGGGAGTTCCTGAGCTGGTTTCTGGACTCTGTGGTTTGTGATTAGCATCATGCTGAGTTCCTGGTTTATGCCCAGGAAACAAGACAGTACTCTTCCACACCCAGCACTGTTGACAGGCTTGTGAGTTTCCTGCCCGCAATGGTTACTATGTCTCCTACAGCACAGGTGCTGGGAGGACTATGATAGAGCCAGTGTCCTGTGCAGTTAGCACAAAGGGAAAAGCACCAGACAGGGAATCCCAAGAGCTGGACTTGAGTCCTGGCTCTGCCATAGGAATCTGAAGCATTTGTCTCACTGCAACTATGCCCTTCTAGGGAACTGGCTCTGAATTTCAGTTGCAACAATGTGTGTGAAGGATCTGGGAAAAGCACAAAACGATTGCTATCTACCTCAAATGTCAGATGAGCAGGTTCTCGTGCTTTGGCTTCTAGCCAATGTATTTACAATAAAATTGAAGACTCTTAGAACACTGGGCTAGACAGGGTTCTTTTCGGTCTGAAACCCAGAGAGGAGCACTGTGGTGAGAAAGGTGACGGTGATGACAACTGCACTTCCTCCAGCATTACCCTGTGCTTCGCAGTAAAGACAGCAAGCAGTCACACAGCACTGAACTACCAGGTACCATGCTAAGCACTTCACATGTAGTATCTCACTTGCTCCTCACAACAACCCTATCAAGTAGGCCCTAATTTTACAGACTCCATTTTACAGATGAGAACATTGAGGTACAGAGAAGTTAAAGATTTGCTCAAGGTCACACAGCTGGGAAAAGAGCAGGCAGTCAGGGTAGAAAGCTCCAGTCTCTCAGTGCCCCACAGTCCCATGTATGAGCCCTTAGCCACAGCAAGAGAACAGCTCACCTCTTGAGGAGGAATATCGAATGAGATGGTCCTCATGTCCACCTTGATGAAGCTGTCAGTGCATGGCAAAATGAAAAACAAACCTGCAAAACACAGGCACAGGATCAGAGTTGAGCACCCAACTGGCTTTCTCCTCCACCGATTCTAATGGAATCAACCTAGTCAACTGACTGAAACCTAACATGCCTTGCTTACTCCCCACCTCTAAGTATTTATAGTTTCTCTCTCTGACCCATTTTCCTGAGATACAAGTCTTGAGTCATGCATGTTGTGCTAACTAGAGTCACCTGGGAAGGAGGAACTTCAGTCGAGGAATTTCCTCCATCAGACTGGCCTGTGGGTATGGGGTGGGGGGCATTTTCCTGACTGCTGGTTGATGTGGGAGGGCCTAGTCCACTGTGGGCCTTGGGTTGCATTAAGAAAAGCAGGCCAGGGAAGAGCAAGCCAGTAGGCAGTGTTCCTCCCGTGCTTCAGCTCCTGCCTCCAGGCTCCTGCCTTGAGTTCCTGCCCTGACGTTCTTCACTGATGGACTGAGACCTGGTAATGTTAAGATGAAATAAACATTTCTTCCCAAGTTGCTTTTGGTTGGAGTGTTTAATCACAGCAACAGAGAAGCCAACTAGGACAAGGCTTGTTTGGTTCACCTCTGCTTCCCTCTGCAGACACATTCCCTCTCTTCACGCCCTGCACTCACTGGATTCAGTTCTTGCAGGACCTCAATCTGCAGTACTCTCAGCCCTACACTGCTTTGAACATGCCGCTGCTTCTTCTGAGAACACCTGTTTGTGACTAACACTTTTCCAGCCCTCAGGCCTCAGATGGACCAGGCATAGTGGTGCATACTAGTTAGTAATCCCAAGACTCAGAAGGCTGAGGCAGGAGCACTGCTAAAAGTTTGAGGCCAGCCTCGGGTACATGGTTGGTTCCAGGCTAGCCTGTGAGAGGCTGTCTCAAAAACAAAAACAAAAAAAAACAACCAGACAGCTTTGCCTCATCTACCAGTTCAGGTCCATAACTCTTCCCTGGGTTCTCGGGGCCCTCTGTGGTGACTTGATCAGAATACGTATCCTGTGGGACAGAATTATTTCCCTGTTGGTGTCCTGTTGTGGGACAGAAAGATCCTTGATGGGGGTACTGTGCTCTAGTCTCCTTGAATTCTCAGAGTCTGGGTGGGCATGGTGGCCCTGCTGTAGTCCCAGCACTTGAGCAATTGAAGTCCTTTTCTTGGTTGGGGTTCCCATGTGCAGACTTCCATAGCTGGGGCCATGCCTGCCAGAGTTAAAGGTAACCTAATCATCTCTAAGTGGACAGGGACAGGAAGGCTTGGACAATACTAAGTCTAGCTAGTGCCACTACTATTGTTCTACAACTGCTGCTCCATGTCAAGGAGAAGAGGAAATCATCCATTAGGGAACCAACTTCAGTAAAATCACTCCAGTCTCCAGAGTGAAGCCAAGTACTGACCAGGTCCTTTGGCGCCTCCTTGCAAAATGCGGCCCAATCTAAAGATGATGGCTCGCTCATACTCTTTTATGATCTAGAATAAAAACACAAATGAAAATTCAACATGGTGAGCACTAACATTTACATGTACAGTTTCTTAAATATGTTTATTTTCTGAACAGGTTAGATGCTTCTCACTCTTCCCTATTTCCAGATAATATCTAAAAACAACATATTCAGTGTTTACCCTTTCCAAACAAGATTATTTCTTTACTATATACATATTTTTTCTTGCATATATATATATTTTTTGAGACAAGAGCTCTCACTGTGTAACCCTGGATGGTCTCAAACTCATTAGTAGACCAGGCTAACCGAAAACTCACAGAGCTCTAACTGCCTCTGCCTCTAATGTGTTGGGAGAGACAGTGTGTGCCACTCCATCCAGCATACTATATCCAGACATTTCTAACTGATTATAAAAGCAATAGGTCATCCAGGAGTGGTGGCATATGACTCTAATCCCAGGACTCTGCAAGTAGAGGCAGGAAGATGGTGTGTTTCACTCAGCCTGGACTACAGAGTTTAAGGCCAGCCTGCACTACATAGAAGATCCTGTCCCAAAAAATAAAATAAATGAACTGTCTAAAATTGAGACGTATACAGGGCTAGATAGATGGTTTAGTGGTTAAGACCACTAGCTATTCTTGTAAAGGACCAGGGTTCAGTTCCCAGCACCCACATGGTGGCTAGCAACAGTCCATAACTCCAGTCCAGGGGATTCAGCAAATAACCTCTTCTCACTTCCGTGGGCACCGCACAACACGGGTGCACACTCATACACATAAAAAAAGAATTTTTTTTAATGGGGGGGTATAGAAGAGTATACAGGAACAAATCTCACACCAAGGTGGCGGCATGCACCTTTAATCCCAGGCCTTGAGAGGCAGAGACAGGTGAATCTCTGCGAGACAGAGGAGATGGAGGCCAGCCTGGTACACATAGTGATTTCCAGAGGTGGACTGGGATTAGGGAGACCCTGTCAAAAAACAAAAACAAAAACAAACAAAAAATCTCTAATTGCAGTCCTTTGCTGTTAATATCACTATCTGATTACTCATCTTTTGTTTGCTCAGCACAGCTTACAGCCTTTTCTTCTGATTCCTTTAATTACAATAGTAAATTTAATCCGAAAATGCTGAGAGCATATTTTTTTACTTTTAGGAACATGCAAATGACGTATTTATGTAATTATTACTAGCTTTGTAGGAAAGATGGGATCAGCTTTGGAGAGCACTGACTATGTGCCAGGCATCACAGTAAGTATATTTAGGCAGGCTATCCAATTAATCCTCATCATCATCTATGAAGCAGGTGCTGTTATTTTCTCCAAATTCACAAGTAAGGAAACATGACCAAGATGCACATGACTGTAGCACAGTCAACAATGCAGCCAACAATTAACCCTTGGCATCCTAACGGTAGAACCTATTCTCACAGGATCATCTCACATCTCTGACGCAGAAAAGTGTGGATGGTAATCCTTACTTGTCAGAAAGACTGATTGGATAGTGACTGAAGCTTTAAGATCCCACAATCATTAGTGAGTAGAATGAGTTTCTCGCAGGGGAAGAAAGAGAAGGAACTATGGGCCAATATAGGATCTCTCTGTCTGTTACACAGATAAAGTGGGTTTATGTAGGTAGGAGTTGACCCTTTCCAAACATGAATGAAATGCTCTTTACCTTTATGCACATCCATATTGATATTGGAAAAGTTACAACTGTGAACAAGAATGAGACAGCCACCAAAATCCATCCACAAAGTCCAAGGCCTGACTTGGGGCTATCTGTTGGAAACAAAACCATCAGCTTTAATTGCTGTCATTAGCACCATCACCACCATCACTAAACAGTTTGTGTTTGGCATTTTGCTGGCTGCGTTCCTTGAGTTATTCCATCGAATCCCCACGAAATCCTGAAACACATGCACTACTTTCCTTGGTCTGCTTCGCACAACCGTTTTCTCATGTCACCTAAGACTTTACCCGGCACACATTCATCACTTCCCTCCTATTACTTTTGACTTGTGATGTGAAACAACGAAAATGAATTATGACCAAAACCCAGCTTTGAATGATGGTCAACTATAGTGGGGAATAAAGAGGTAGTTAGACTACAAGGTGGTAAATAGAGATGCAAATATCTATTCAGAAGATTAAGACAACATGAAAGTGATCACACAGCTGGGACGGAGGTGGGAGGCGGGTGGATGACAGCTGTTGTCAGAGAGCTTCTTGACGGAGGTAACAGTAAGGAAAATATCAATGAAAAGGAAGAGAAAGAAAGAAAATAGGTATTCCAGGTCCAGGCACTGCGTGATTTGAGATGAAAACCATGATATATGAATATAATGCCAGTTAGAGATCCTTTATACAAATTACGCCTGTAAACTATTTCACTGGGTTTATGAACTATCATTTTCCATTTCCTGACTATTACACACGTTGTTTCTGGCTTCTTGCTGTTAACAATGCTGTAATGAGCATCATTGTACACAGTCTCCCTCCCCATCCTGCATATAAATAGTAACTTCTGTCTGATTACAAAAGTGTAACAATATCTGCCCAGTCACAAAATGTTCATGAAAGTATAAAAAAGGGAAACTTTACTTTAAACTTAGCGATAATAAATATTTTGGTACATTTTTTCCAACCATTTTCCTTGTTCACACTACACTTTAAAGTTAAAATAAATAAAATTAGTAACCTATTTTTTTCTGCTAGTTATTCTTTCACACCATTTATTAACCTCTATAGCCAATCTACATAGGGAGTTCTAGGCCAGATGAGGCTCCAAGGAGATCCTGTCTCAAAACAAACAAATTTTAGAAATGTGTTATCAAGTAATTGTTAGAACTGTCCAGTGAGGCTAAGTTTTTGTTGGTTTGTTTCTGAAATAAAGTCTTGCTGTGTAGCTCAAGCTGGCCAGGAACTCATGATCACCCTGCCTTCATCTTCTGTGTACTAAATTAGAGACACATGTCTGCTGAGGTTAAGTAATTTTACTTCCCATTTATGAACGAAGTAACAGAAACAACATAACTTTCTGAAGGTCACCTCAAAGAGGATAGGAATTCAAATATAATTCAATTACTCTAAAACCCACATTCTAGGTCTTTTTGACCCTTCACCACTAAATTTTACAAGCCATCATTAAAGATGTTTTCATGTTTGGAGCGCTTTCTTGAAACAGTATCTAAACTGGGAAACCTGACAGGAATGAGTTTTGAGGACGAAATGCGATATTCTGACAGAGGTAGCCCTTGACATTTTAGCCGTACCTCCTATTTATAGCAAAAGAGTTTCAGCGCTCTGTCAGGTTCAAGTTCAGATTTCCTGTAAATCAGACTCTAAGGAAGGAACAGACTGGTCATAAATATTTAGCTGATAGCATTTGGTGCCAGAAATACTGCCCTAAGTCTCCCACAGTCCAGGCAAAGTACATGGCTCTGTGTTCTGAACATATTACACCATATCCTCCCAAGAGCAGGGATGGTTCTTGTGCATTCTGTTTTTCTTTGTGGTGCTGAGGATCAAACCCAGGGTCTTGAACATGCCAGGCAGGTACCCTGCCATGAGCTTCAACTCTAGTCCCTCTTGTTCATTTTTATACACCCAATATACAGCACAGCACAATACCCTGCAAAAAAAAAAAATGAGCCAATTGGGAGCTTAAGTCTCTTTACCTGTAAAAAAAAAATAAATCAGGATTATTAGATCAGCCTTACAGAACTGAGATAGTGCTCAGTAAATATAGATAAGAGTTTCCTATAACCCTTTTGTAGTATTCAATGAATAGAATATTCTACCTCTTAAAGACGACTTAATTTGCCATTCATTTTATGCCAACCCCAACCAGTCTAGGCTATGACATTCAAAGATTAAGAAAATACATTTACAAAGAGGTCCATGTATGAACAAGACTGAAAGCTCAGTCAAAAGTCATGCCTGGGTTCAGTTCCCATTGTTAACGCTGTGATTCTTCAAACTAGACAAGTGTATAAGATCAAAGTAAGAGGACCAAGAAGTAGATGGATAGTCTGAAAACTGGGCTTAGTCTTTCACATATCAAATGCTCCACTAGAAATGGAAGTGTACACACACTAAGAAAATGGAGCTTTTACTTTTATTTTCTTAATACCTTTACAGTGAAACTATCCCATTCTCAATCATCAAAATTCTTCCCTGTCTGGTCACAGTTCAACAAGGTGCATAACATTTTCAGGAGGGGAGGTTTCAATGGGCTTATTCATAAACCTCAGTCACCTATGACCACCAGACAAATAAGGAAAAGCAGTTCTTAGTTACCCACCAAAATTTCGTGAACCTCATTTCCTAAAAGTTTCTCACTTATTAACTTAAGATGGACCCCTTACTATCAGCTTATGAGATAAATGACAAGTAACAGGCAAGGAGTGTTCTTGAGATATTCTGGCCTAAGTACTAGTCAATGTTTTACAGGGATCCCACAATACTTTGTTATAAATACTGATTTGCCAGGTTTTTACACATTTTCTTCTTCTACTATGAAACTCTTTTCTGAAACCTACATTAGCATAAACTTTGAACCAATCAAATCCAGGATCTAAAAGTGGATATGAATTTATATATTTAAATTTTATATTATTCAAATTGAACTTCTTCAAGGAAACTAATATAAAATTTCAAGAAATTATCTCGTCTTACAAAAAAGTGATCACCATAATTATTATAAATTATAAATATGCCTAAACAAATAGAAAAGCATCTATACTTTCATTATCTGTAAATGATGATTTTTTTGTCTTGCTATATGTCCATTAAATCTTTTGATTTCTTTTTGTAAAAGTAAAATAATGGTACACGTGATTTAAAAATCCACTCTTGTGGCTAGAGAGATGGGTCAATGGTTAAGACTACTTGCTGTTTTTCCAGGAGACCTGAATTCAGTTCCAAGAACCCATACTGGGAGGCTTACAATTGTCTGTAACTCCAGTTTCAGAAGATCTGATGCTCCCTTCTGGCCTCCATGGGCACTGCACACATGTGGTACACATACTCAGGCACATACCCATAAAATAAATAAACTAACTAACTAAATAAAATAAATAAATAAATAAATAAATAAATAAATAAATAAATAATAAATAAAACCTGCCCCTCATATTATGAACACCTTTTCATATC